ATGCCATTTCTTCCCCCGGGAGAATACCTCAGAGGTCTTTATGTCGTCTGCGAAAGGGAAATTTTGGGGGGGCAGAAGAGGAAGGGAAGGGGATTGTGGGGGGAGGGGAGGGAAGATTCACCGTCAACTCGAGCCCAAGGGGTTTGATTTGAATGCAGTCGAACTATATTTTTAAGAATCTGATAAAAACAGGTTCTCTCTCCCCCCTACTCCCCCACCAGGCGACGGGTCAGGGTTTAAACAGGAAATCGAGGAGCGATCCCCTCCCCCACTCGGGCTTGGCGGAGCAGCCCAGTCGCGCCTCTGGGAGAGGATGGGGGGCGGCTCCTGACTCGGGCTGAAGGTGAGTCTGGCCCCCAGACTCACGGCCCTCTCAAGGAACATGCGCCCCCTCTCCCAGCTCTGGGGTGTGTCTGCCTGGGTGTGTAAGAGTTTGAGTGTGCGTCGCCCTTTATAAACAGAAGCTCGCACATATAGGGCCGCCTCGGACCCAGGCCAGGGCGCAGGGCGGGGTCATATATCAAATTGCAACACATTCAGGGCCACGTACATTTGGAAGAAATTAAGCCACTGTGTTATGAAACCATATGTGTCGGGTTAAGGCTATACAACACGCCATTAGCACCAATTATTAGGAAGAGCGCGGGCGCCCCAAACCCTCCGGGCCGCGCAGCTCTGACGTCCCTACCCCACGAGCAGCCACGCCTGGAGTTCTCACTGCCTCCACTCACCCTGGGGGCCCCGCCAGCCGGCGAGGCCTGGGCCTGTCTCCACCCAGGCTGGGGCCTCCCCAATTTCCACCTCCGCCCCAGACAGGGCTGATCCTAGCCCAGAGCAGGCAGGCCGAGGTGGGTTAAGCAGTCCAGTGTGTATCCTGGGTGGGGTGGCCGCTGTTGGGCTGGGGGACGCCACTCGGGGGAGAGAAGGCAGATAGGCCCGGTTCCTCCAAGCACTCGGCGAGTACGGAGTCCCCACCCCCACCCATCCACCCGCAGTGCAGGGCACCTCCCATCTTTCCATCCGCTCGAATGAGAGCCGGAGCAAGGGGTGGGCAGACGCTCTCCCCTCCGCTGACGCGCACCAGCCACCAGCCTCCCCCCTAATTGCCAATTAACAGGCCCTGTGGCCCGCCAAGCCCCGTTCTCTTCCTGCTCGGCCGCCCGGCCCTGGGCCCGCACTGCGCATGTGCGAGCTCTAGCGGTCGCGCTCTCGGGAGGGAGGGGGCTGCGGAGCAAGGCGGGGGCACTGGAAAGTTTGTTTGGGGGTTGGGGGGCCGACTTTGCTCGGGGGCTAAGGGTTACAGCCTACAGGTCCTCTCTTCCACCCAGAGTTTGAGCTTCTGGGCCCCCTCAGTTCCAGTCCCATTAGCCAAGAGGCCGCAAATCTAAATAACAGGTAAGGACACAGTGAGCACCAGGCAGCCGGTCAGCGCACTAGACCCCGGCCTTGAGCCCCACAGG